TTTCATGAGGCAGCCTGAGGCTGTTGCCTCAGACAGCATCTCTTTGGGTTGTGCGAGTGTGTGGGGGGGGTGGGGGGGGGGGGGGGGGGCGCACTGGACGAGGACTGTGGAGGGTTGCTGGAGAGTTACTATTAACTCTCCAGCAACCAGAAACTACAGTTATCCGGCAGCTACTGATCCCCACGGGTGCCCTATAACTGGAGGTTTACTGTAATGTGAAGAATTGGTGTTTTCCCCATGTCACCCTACTGAGCATTGATTTGGAAGATTTGCCTCCCATTGACTTCTATGGGGTTCGCATTGAGGTTTGCACATTGCGAACATTAATAGCTTTGCCCAGCCCGCCTGTGAATAGATTGCGAGCAGATTCGTCCATCACTGCTCAAAAGTTGATAGGTGACACCTTCTCTTTAGAAGAGAACAAACTCTTTTATAACCAACAATATGGGTTCTATTCCTAAGAGGGTGCTTGGTGCTGGGGCATGAGGAAATCTCTTCTGCTCAGTGGGAAAGCATTTGTACAGAGAATAATGAAGACCTGGAGATGATATTGTGTGACACCGGCCTGGTGTGCCTGTGGCTGAGATATGACGGATACAATGGAGTACAAAGGGAATCATGATGAGGCCAGGTTATGCCGTGTCCTGGGTGATGGACACATTGGCAGGGTGTGATAACTTTTCCTCTCTACAGATGGTGACAGTTGTGTGACGATCCCCGGGCTTGTGCGGGACTTTTATATCTTTACAATGATTATAGAAATCTGTAGATGTCCCTCCTCTCATCCCTGCCTGCAAGACCCCCTGGCACTGCCTTGGCATTACCATCCAATTAAAAGGGGTCCTGGCAGGACAATGATGGCCGTATCTGTCTCCTTTCCTAGCGCTCTGGATCAAAGGACTCCTGTCCACGGGCGATAACTGTTCTCTGGACCTCTGGGGACCTTCTGATCTTTTATTAATAATGACAAGTCCTTTCTGCTGTCACAGGCTGGATTCTGGGGATGTCATGCAGCACGGAAAGGTAAAGGTCCTTCACACTATGATAGCTCCTAGCCCTATACAATCATCCTGTCATATGTAGGCTCTTCATTCGTGTCCTCAGTCCTGTCTGGAGCTCTCACAGATGTTAATATAAATATGTGGTTAGTAATAAGCCAGGAAGTAGATTGGGGTGTATGTGATGTATGATTTTTGGGGTGGCTCAGGTGCCTCCAGTGGAGACGTACCTGATCTTCCTGCAGATCTGTGTGTTAAGTATACAGAATATGCAATGTAGCCTGTTGTGTCTGTTTATTGCCGTGTTAGGGGAGACGTAGAGGATGTAAGTTCATAGAGAGTGGAGCCAGGTGGCACGTAGACGATGTAAGGTCATAGAGAGTGGAGCCAGGTGGCACGTAGACGATGTAAGGTCATAGGGGGTGGAGCCAGGTGGCACGTAGAAGATGTAAGGTCATAGGGGGTGGAGCCAGGTGGCACGTAGAAGATGTAAGGTCATAGAGAGTGGAGCCAGGTGACACGTAGAAGATGTAAGGTCATAGAGAGAGGAGCCATGTGACACGTAGAAGATGTAAGGTCATAGAGAGTGGAGCCAGGTGACACGTAGAGGATGTAAGGTCATAGAGAGAGGAGCCAGGTGACACGTAGACGATGTAGACGATGTAAGGTCATAGGGGGTGGAGCCAGGTGGCACGTAGAAGATGTAAGGTCATAGGGGGTGGAGCCAGGTGGCACGTAGAAGATGTAAGGTCATAGGGGGTGGAGCCAGGTGGCACGTAGAAGATGTAAGGTCATAGGGGGTGGAGCCAGGTGGCACGTAGAAGATGTAAGGTCATAGGGGGTGGAGCCAGGTGGCACGTAGAAGATGTAAGGTCATAGGGGGTGGAGCCAGGTGGCACGTAGAAGATGTAAGGTCATAGGGGGTGGAGCCAGGTGGCACGTAGAAGATGTAAGGTCATAGGGGGTGGAGCCAGGTGGCACGTAGAAGATGTAAGGTCATAGGGGGTGGAGCCAGGTGGCACGTAGAAGATGTAAGGTCATAGGGGGTGGAGCCAGGTGGCACGTAGAAGATGTAAGGTCATAGGGGGTGGAGCCAGGTGGCACGTAGAAGATGTAAGGTCATAGGGGGTGGAGCCAGGTGGCACGTAGAAGATGTAAGGTCATAGGGGGTGGAGCCAGGTGGCACGTAGAAGATGTAAGGTCATAGGGGGTGGAGCCAGGTGGCACGTAGAAGATGTAAGGTCATAGGGGGTGGAGCCAGGTGGCACGTAGAAGATGTAAGGTCATAGGGGGTGGAGCCAGGTGGCACGTAGAAGATGTAAGGTCATAGGGGGTGGAGCCAGGTGGCACGTAGAAGATGTAAGGTCATAGGGGGTGGAGCCAGGTGGCACGTAGAAGATGTAAGGTCATAGGGGGTGGAGCCAGGTGGCACGTAGAAGATGTAAGGTCATAGGGGGTGGAGCCAGGTGGCACGTAGAAGATGTAAGGTCATAGGGGGTGGAGCCAGGTGGCACGTAGAAGATGTAAGGTCATAGGGGGTGGAGCCAGGTGGCACGTAGAAGATGTAAGGTCATAGGGGGTGGAGCCAGGTGGCACGTAGAAGATGTAAGGTCATAGGGGGTGGAGCCAGGTGGCACGTAGAAGATGTAAGGTCATAGGGGGTGGAGCCAGGTGGCACGTAGAAGATGTAAGGTCATAGGGGGTGGAGCCAGGTGGCACGTAGAAGATGTAAGGTCATAGGGGGTGGAGCCAGGTGGCACGTAGAAGATGTAAGGTCATAGGGGGTGGAGCCAGGTGGCACGTAGAAGATGTAAGGTCATAGGGGGTGGAGCCAGGTGGCACGTAGAAGATGTAAGGTCATAGGGGGTGGAGCCAGGTGGCACGTAGAAGATGTAAGGTCATAGGGGGTGGAGCCAGGTGGCACGTAGAAGATGTAAGGTCATAGGGGGTGGAGCCAGGTGGCACGTAGAAGATGTAAGGTCATAGGGGGTGGAGCCAGGTGGCACGTAGAAGATGTAAGGTCATAGGGGGTGGAGCCAGGTGGCACGTAGAAGATGTAAGGTCATAGGGGGTGGAGCCAGGTGGCACGTAGAAGATGTAAGGTCATAGGGGGTGGAGCCAGGTGGCACGTAGAAGATGTAAGGTCATAGGGGGTGGAGCCAGGTGGCACGTAGAAGATGTAAGGTCATAGGGGGTGGAGCCAGGTGGCACGTAGAAGATGTAAGGTCATAGGGGGTGGAGCCAGGTGGCACGTAGAAGATGTAAGGTCATAGGGGGTGGAGCCAGGTGGCACGTAGAAGATGTAAGGTCATAGGGGGTGGAGCCAGGTGGCACGTAGAAGATGTAAGGTCATAGGGGGTGGAGCCAGGTGGCACGTAGAAGATGTAAGGTCATAGGGGGTGGAGCCAGGTGGCACGTAGAAGATGTAAGGTCATAGGGGGTGGAGCCAGGTGGCACGTAGAAGATGTAAGGTCATAGGGGGTGGAGCCAGGTGGCACGTAGAAGATGTAAGGTCATAGGGGGTGGAGCCAGGTGGCACGTAGAAGATGTAAGGTCATAGGGGGTGGAGCCAGGTGGCACGTAGAAGATGTAAGGTCATAGGGGGTGGAGCCAGGTGGCACGTAGAAGATGTAAGGTCATAGGGGGTGGAGCCAGGTGGCACGTAGAAGATGTAAGGTCATAGGGGGTGGAGCCAGGTGGCACGTAGAAGATGTAAGGTCATAGGGGGTGGAGCCAGGTGGCACGTAGAAGATGTAAGGTCATAGGGGGTGGAGCCAGGTGGCACGTAGAAGATGTAAGGTCATAGGGGGTGGAGCCAGGTGGCACGTAGAAGATGTAAGGTCATAGGGGGTGGAGCCAGGTGGCACGTAGAAGATGTAAGGTCATAGGGGGTGGAGCCAGGTGGCACGTAGAAGATGTAAGGTCATAGGGGGTGGAGCCAGGTGGCACGTAGAAGATGTAAGGTCATAGGGGGTGGAGCCAGGTGGCACGTAGAAGATGTAAGGTCATAGGGGGTGGAGCCAGGTGGCACGTAGAAGATGTAAGGTCATAGGGGGTGGAGCCAGGTGGCACGTAGAAGATGTAAGGTCATAGGGGGTGGAGCCAGGTGGCACGTAGAAGATGTAAGGTCATAGGGGGTGGAGCCAGGTGGCACGTAGAAGATGTAAGGTCATAGGGGGTGGAGCCAGGTGGCACGTAGAAGATGTAAGGTCATAGGGGGTGGAGCCAGGTGGCACGTAGAAGATGTAAGGTCATAGGGGGTGGAGCCAGGTGGCACGTAGAAGATGTAAGGTCATAGGGGGTGGAGCCAGGTGGCACGTAGAAGATGTAAGGTCATAGGGGGTGGAGCCAGGTGGCACGTAGAAGATGTAAGGTCATAGGGGGTGGAGCCAGGTGGCACGTAGAAGATGTAAGGTCATAGGGGGTGGAGCCAGGTGGCACGTAGAAGATGTAAGGTCATAGGGGGTGGAGCCAGGTGGCACGTAGAAGATGTAAGGTCATAGGGGGTGGAGCCAGGTGGCACGTAGAAGATGTAAGGTCATAGGGGGTGGAGCCAGGTGGCACGTAGAAGATGTAAGGTCATAGGGGGTGGAGCCAGGTGGCACGTAGAAGATGTAAGGTCATAGGGGGTGGAGCCAGGTGGCACGTAGAAGATGTAAGGTCATAGGGGGTGGAGCCAGGTGGCACGTAGAAGATGTAAGGTCATAGGGGGTGGAGCCAGGTGGCACGTAGAAGATGTAAGGTCATAGGGGGTGGAGCCAGGTGGCACGTAGAAGATGTAAGGTCATAGGGGGTGGAGCCAGGTGGCACGTAGAAGATGTAAGGTCATAGGGGGTGGAGCCAGGTGGCACGTAGAAGATGTAAGGTCATAGGGGGTGGAGCCAGGTGGCACGTAGAAGATGTAAGGTCATAGGGGGTGGAGCCAGGTGGCACGTAGAAGATGTAAGGTCATAGGGGGTGGAGCCAGGTGGCACGTAGAAGATGTAAGGTCATAGAGAGTGGAGCCAGGTGACACGTAGAGGATGTAAGGTCATAGAGAGAGGAGCCAGGTGACACAACTCCATCTGCTCGGGGACAGTGAGTAGAAGTCCAGAAATGTTGGGACAATCGGAGGCCAGCAGCGTCCTCTTGTCTGCCTTCGATGGTCGGACTATTCAACAGCTGAGCTCCTCTCTGATTGGACGGTCTGGAAAGGTCGGCGTCATTTTCTGTATTTGTAGCTTCACAATCTCAGTAAGTGGCTGTGACGTCACCACGCAGGAGGAAGTGAAGTGGGCGCAGCAGTTGGCGCAGAGTACAGGCACTTCATATATATATACGCTGGAATACTCCGCAGACCTTTGTGGCAGCGAGTGGCCGTCATCCTCTCGGAGATTTCTGTCTCGTCTCCAGAAGCTGTAGGGGGGACAATCAATAGAAGTGACCCCCCCCCCCCCCCCCC